AGAACTGTACAGCAGATTCCCATATAATTTACTGGCTAATCATAAACATTTTGCCCTTTGTGTTTCTTTTCTCTCCTTGCCTCTCTGCCACTCTCTCCCTCCCCACCTTCTTCCAGTTCTTTCGCTAGTGCGTTCCCATTCTCTGAGCCCCGCCCTTTGAGGTGCGAGGGACGGAGCCGAGCCGGGGCCTCAGGTGAGCCAGGCTAGCACATCGCCACTGAGCCACAGCCGTGCCTTCTAGTGCGCAGTCCTCCTCCGCCTCCCTGCACACCGCACAGGTGCTCGTGTGGATGCTCGTTCTCTGAAGAAGCGCTTTAGAGTATGTTGCATAGATCACGGCAGCTTTTCCCTAACCTTCCAGTGAGGGGCTGCCAGGCATTTCTACAGATCACATTCGTCACACCTGGGAAAGAAGAACCGCTTTAGAGTATGTTGCATAGACCACGGCAGCTTTTCCCTAACCTTCCAGTGTGGGGCTGCCAGGCATTTCTACAGATCACATTCGTCACACCTGGGAAACGTAACATGGAAACGATACTGTTTCTTGTGCAGCCCACAGTCCAGTTTTCCCAGATTGTCCCAGTGGTGCCCCTTGTAGTTGTTTTAAAATCCAGGATCGAATCCAAATTATATTATATCTGGTTACATGTCTCTTTAACTTTAAAAATTTACTCTAGAAAATTTCCTCCTTTTTTCCTTTTCATGGCATGGAAGTTTCTAAAGTCCAAAGTTAGTTTGGCTTTTTTTTTTTAAATGTTCTGTTTGGGTTTATTTTTTTTTCTCTTGTAATTAAACAGTTTGGTCACTAATAACACATAGAAGCCACTGAGCAGAGCCTTTTCCCTCAGATGGAGGGAAGATAGTGATTCCTAGGCTAGGCATTGCGTTTCTTCTGCAGACCCGATTCCGGAGTTCACCCAGCCTTACTCCTTTTGTCTCCAAGGGGTCTCAGGGAATCTGATTGGTTGGGCTGGACTGGTTTTGAGTCCACTTACTCATTAGTCGTTGAGGGAGCGTTTCTGATGCCTTGGGTTCTGTGGTTCAGGGCCCTGGAAACCACATTCCTGAGATGAACCAAGTCCTATCTAAGCTGGCTTCAATGAGCCCACAGCCCTACTTTCCTTAGGGCATGCCTGAGTATTCTGGTGTTCCTTGGGAGAAGCGGCAATGGGAAGCCTGCCCGAAGTTGTCTGGCGTGCACAGGTCTGTGCAGGAGAGCCTGCATATGGAAATGGTAGGTGGTCACCTGACGTGTCAAAGGAAACATGTGTCCCTAAGGCTCCAGTCTTGGTTTGTCTTGTTTCGCGTCAGGTATGAGGGACTTAGACTTCAAGAGTCTGGGAATGTGTGTATGAGAGCGCAGCGCTTTGAAGACGCTTCAGTGGAGATGTGTGCGGGGTGCCCTGCGCATGTGAAGGGAGTTGTTCATTTGGCTTTAGGAGCAGAAACTCAGAGGAAACGTCACAGAGGAGGTGCTCCTGGAGCTGAGAACCGGTGGCTTTTCCTCACCGAGACAAAGAGGGGAGAGAGAGCGAAATGGAGGTGCAGTGGAGGGAGGGGCAGAGAGTGAGGGCCCTGCGTGGGAGGCTCTGGGGAGATGGGGCCACACTGGGCTGTGTCGCTCAGAGATTTTAGAAAGTTGTCTCTGGCTGGAGAGGGTAGCACAAGGGAGGTGGGAAGGCTAGTGTGGAAGCTGAAGAGGAACGCCCCGCCCTGCCTTTCCCCCGAAGGTCTCTTCTACCTGCAGTATTAATGATGGCGTTTGGAACGGTAGGCTTGCTTGCCATGCCAGGGAAGGTAGAGTGACCTAAAAAGTGGATTTGTTTCCGCTGTGTCTCTGTGCTAACCCCTTCCCTACTTAATCAGTGACAGGAGGTCCCTGGCCGGGTCCCTTAGACCTCTGAGGGGCAGAAAATGTTCTTTCCAGGCAGAAGCACACTGCCGAGTTATGTCCTAGGGAGAGGACAGGCCTGTGGGTGGCAGTTGGGAGCCCTGGGCACTCTCAGTCTGACACCTCAGGTTCTCGCCTCATTTGAGAGACCTGGGTGTGAAGCTACAGAAGCTCACAAGGCCTTTGGTTCGGGCACTCGGTGATTTGGGATTATGAGTGGAGTTATTTTTCTTATTTATTTTTTATCCTTTAGCTTCTGAGTTTAGACATGCTGACTGAATTAGGGAAAATACCTAAATCCTGACCTTTTCAGAAGTATGCAATTAGAGAGTATCTTAGTTATTTTTTTGTTGTTGCTGAGACAAAATACCTGACACTTAAAATTAAGGAAGGAAAGGTTTATTTAGCTCACAGTCTGTAGAGGTTTCAGTCCATACTCTCCTGGCTCCAAGGCAGGGTGGCACATGGCAGAGGGCATCAGTTCATGGTGGTGGAAGACAGCATAAGCAACAAGAGCAAAAGGGAGGAGCAGGCAGAAAGAGCAAGCCTCTTTCTGTCCCTTCTATTGTATGCAAACCACCCGCCCCAGGGCGGGTGTAGCTCTCACACCCACAATCCCAGCATTGGACCATGGATCACTCATAAACTCTAGAAGCCTGCCCCGTGACTGCATGAGGAGGGACATTTGGGGGGACATCCAGACACAAACCATAACAGACAGTAAGCATTGTAACTGGTTTTTCTGTTAGAATTTCAGTCATGGACAGCAGTGTGGAAATACCTTAGGAGCAGGAGAACACTGGCTGGGGTGGGGGGCAGGACACGGCTGGAAGAACCCCGTTGCTCAGGGTGGGGAGAAGGAAGCAAGCCCAGGCTGAGAGTGCCATGGTTGCTTGAAGTTAGACCCACTGGGGCAGACTGTTCTTGGTGTGTGATTCCCAAGCACCCCTCCCCCCGCCCCGCTCCCCCGAAGCCTGTGAGTCTGGAAAAGGAATGAGAATGGAAAGGAGCCAGTTGGGATAGTAGAGGGAGACATTCGTAGCTGCTTTTCCTTTTAAATTGATGTGCCCTCACTGGGGGCTTTCGAGCTGCCTCTGTCTACAACCTGTGCTGTGGGTCTGGGTGGAGTTCAGAGGAGCCCTTGAGTGGTTCTGGTTGGGAGAGGGGTGGAGAGGGCATTATGTTGAGCCACTGCATCCCTGTGTGCTTTGGTGAGAGATCACTGGGATTATCCCTGGAGCATCTTTGGCAGAGTAGATCCCAGAGGGCGCAGCGATGGCTGATAGATGAGAACCTGTCCCTACAGAGACACGCAGGAAGTGATGGAGGTGACACCCAAGGCTGTGCTGTGCCACATGCACTCTCCTTGGCCCAGTGACACCCTCAGGCAGCTGGACTCTCAACTCTGTCGAGTTGTGGCTGAAAGAAAATTAGGAAATCTCTGCTGATTTGCATAGTTATTTAATTAATGTGTCTTCTTCCTGTGTATTATTAAGGCAGAGCAGAGAGAAGTCAGGGAAAATTTTAAATCACTCTGTTCTGTTGTCTAGGGGGACATGTTGACATTTGGAGTCTTTTATGGATTTACTTGTATTGCCTTATAGTTTTATAGATTGCTTTTTTCTTAGCACAAATAGTAAAACAATTGAAATAGAAGATAAACAGCATTGGGCCGGGGGTATAACTCGGTGGCACAGCAACTGCCTGGCAAGCTTGAGGTCCTGAGTTCAATTCCCAGCACCCAAAGATAAATAGCATTAAGAGGTGTCTAGCAAACCTCACCTCAGATGGGCAGGGCTTTTTCTCCTTTCTTTTGAAATCACTCTGTGGTTTGTAGCTCTTATAAAACTAAGTTTCTCTGAACATCTCTTACTCTTAATATTCATTTTACTGCAAGGAAGGAAGAGGAGGAGAAGGAGTCAGGTTGCATGTCTGTAAGCCTGGGTGACATTCAGTTATCATTTGCCTTCCCAGGTATTTTCCTAGGACTTGGGGACTTCATGAAGGACGGAGGGAAGTGGTCATGTAGAGGGAGTGAAGTGGCTCATGACACTGGGCATCTTGAGGCTGCCCAGGAGAAGCCAGCAGGTCTGGACCAGCCTTCCAGCTTCCCAACCCCATGTTTCCGTGTGAGAAGGAACAAGGATGGAGTCCAGGTCAAAGTTAGCTGTGTTTGGCAGCTAAGAGACTAATATACTAGCAAACCCCCCAAACTAAGCTCCATTATGGCAACTAGGGAAGTGAGGAATGGGATCTCTCTGCTTTCTGTACTAGTATAAGTTACCTGCTTCCCACGTTCAGAATGTTCTTTGATATGCAGTTGGAGTTGTGGAGCCCCTGGTTTCCCTTTGTCCCATCGTGCCAGCCATCCAGGTTGGACTTACCTTCCATGACGAGCCAATAGCGAACCTAGGCAAGGCCTCTGTTCACCCTTCACCAGAAGATTCTATGTGTTAAGTGCCACATACTTTGCGTGATGTCCATTGGTTTCTTCAGGTCTTATTTATAGAGCAGCCTACAAAGATGGAGTCACGATGGCCCTTCTTCCCTGTGGCAGCTCTGTGGCATCTGCCTGCTGATGGGCCACCTCACGGGCCCCTTTCCCATGTGGTGTTAGGCTGCATACACAGGTCACCTGATAGACACTCTTGATGTGAAGTCTGCCCAGGAGCCCTTTGACTCATGCCCGACGAAGCATAGTGTCCGTTGGTGGGAACACAGTGCACACCCCTCATGGCCGGGCCTGATTGCGGGAGGAACAGGGACCAGCCTTTCCACCTCGTTTCTTCACATATCTTCCATCTGGAGAGGCAGAGAGGGTTAGAGTAGGTTAAAAGAGTCATGGCATGGAGAGAGGCAGAGACTGTCGTTTTGGCCCAGCTAAGCAAAGAAGAGAATTGCTCAGAACAGTCTTGTGCCCAGAGGTCAGGTAACGGATGCACTATCAATTCTCATTTTCTTGATGTAATTTCCTTTGATTTGTCACAGGTGCACAAATAAAAACACATGTTCCCTGGCTTGGGCCACTTTGAGTGTTTGAGCGTGACTGCAGCCTGCTTTTCCGTGTAGTCACAGGGCCTTCTGTCTGCCTTTGTGTCCCCGGATGCAGGTGGTGCTCCCCACGTTTATTTTGGAGAAGCGATCTTTGCTGGAGATGTATGCAGACTTTATGGCACACCCTGACCTGTTGCTGGCCATCACTGCTGGGGCCACGCCGGAGGAGAGAGTCATTTGCTTCGTGGAGTATTATCTCACAGCCTTCCATGAGGGCCGAAAGGGGGCTTTGGCCAAGAAGCCCTACAACCCCATCATTGGCGAGACGTTTCACTGCTCCTGGGAGGTTCCCAAGGACAGGGTCAAGCCAAAGAGGACTGCTCTGCCCTCTCTTGCTGGCTGTTGTGAACACCCAGTGGCTGATGACCCTTCCAAGAGCTACAAGCTCCGGTTTGTAGCTGAGCAAGTGTCCCATCACCCTCCCATCTCCTGCTTTTACTGTGAGTGCAAGGAGAAGAGACTGTGCATCAATACCCACGTGTGGACCAAGAGCAAGTTCATGGGCATGTCCGTGGGCGTCTCTATGATCGGGGAAGGTGAGTCGCATTGTGTGTCGGAGCTTGGCTCTTACTCATTTGTATCCCAGGTCGATGAGTGTTAATTTTGTGTGTGGAGTTCCTGGTTACTTTGTTTTACAACTGGGACATGAGTGGGAAACTAGGATGCTTTCTGGACCAGGTATGCTAGTTTCTCAGGAGGGCCAAGGTGATGGGCTAGGTGGAATTCAGCTGTTCAGCCAGCCAGCTGCCCCCTGGATCTGTGTGCTGTGCTTGCATAGGCACTGCCTTATATACACTTTTTTCATTCAGCTGTGTGAGACTATTAGAGTTGGCTCCAGATCTGTGAAAACACATTTTTATTCCCCGTCACCAGTGTTCTGGCTCAGAGACAGTAAGGATAATAGTGCTGCCTATTCAAAAGCTGCTCATAAAAATTCCCAAGGCAAATCTTTTGACTCTGCTAGAAATTCTGAAGCAAGAACACAGTATAATCACACTACTGGTAGATTGCATGTTCCTATTTTAGCAAATAGCTGTGAATGAAGTTCATTCATTGTTTGAAGAAACCAATAATAATACTTATTATATTGAAGTGTCTGTGTTAGTGGTTCTTCAACTTTTCTTATGTCACAAAACCTTCTGAAATTCTAAGACTGTGACTGTCTTCCCAGGAAAAATTAAAAGCAAAAAGCTCTCACAAAATTTGGCTTTCAGCCTCAGGGAGTAAGTACATGGCTCCTTGGACCCCTTCTCAAATCCCTACTTTTTAGGATCCCAAATCCTGTTTTTATCTTCTGATGGAATATGTAAATCAGTCACGTGCTGTATTGGAAAGTGCTAAGTGCTCTAGGCAAAAATATAGCAAGGCGGGGTGTGGAGAAAGGGCCAGGAGAGCTTTGGGGTAGGTTGGCAGGCCTAGAAGACCTTGCCAAGAGAGTGACATTTGATCAGAGACCTGAGGGGGCAAAGAGAAGCCAGCCTTGTGACATTCAGGAGAAGATTGTAAGGTATAAGGGACAAGACAGAGGACCAGAGTCAGGATGGTCTCTGCATGCTGGTGGAGGACAGGAACCTGTGGGGCTGGACCGGGGTGGAATGGTGAGGTCAGGGAAGTGGGTGGGTCACGTAGGGCCTGTGAGCCATTGCTAGGGATGTTGATTGCTACACTGAGTCAGCTACCAAGCCACCAAAGGGGGCCAGTATCTGACTTACAGTTTAGCAATATTGGGCCACTGCTTGTTGAAAATAGATCATAAAGGGGGCAAAAGTGGAAATGAGGAGACCAGTTGGGAGGTCATGAGAATAATCTAGGCAGGAGATGATGGTGCTTGATCCAAGTGGTCTGCTAAAGGAAGTGACACATGGCTGCAGTTACATTAGTCAGCTTGCAGTCTCTGTATGAAATACCTATGCAAATCAGCTTAGAGGAGGAAAGGGTTAGTTGGCTCACTGTCAGAGGGTTCAGTCTCTGGGCGCTTGGCCTCTGTTGCTTTGGAGCCTGTGGTGAGACAGAGCATCGTGATGAGGAGTGTGTGGAAGAGCGAAGCTGCACCCTCATGGTGTCCACATACGGGGTGGGCGTAGAGAGAGAGGAAGGAGGGGGAAGGGCCAGGGTCCCAACATCAGCGGCCAAGGGCGTGCCCTGTGACCTCACGTACTTCCTTTAAGCCCCACCTAAGGTTCCATTACCTCACAGCGGCAACACAGCCTGGTGACCAAAACTTCAGCGCACAAGCCTTAGGGGACACTTACGATCCAGACCGTGGCCATCCAGGTGTGTCTGGAGTCAGAGCACCAAGAGGGTTTGCCGCGGAATTGGGGTGGGTGAGAGTAAGACCAGCTGGCTGAGACGAGTGCTTTCCTGTTTCAATGAAGCCCAGTAGCAGCGCCACACTCCCCTCGCTCTTCTGTGAGAGAGCAGCTTTGCAGCTTTTCCTGCTGTGCAGTTGGGGGGGCGTCTGTGAGAAATGGTTTCTCTGCTGAAGGAGAACTTCTTAGCAATGCCCACACGTGGGACCTTGGAGCTGAAAAGAGGATCTGCCCACCTAGAGCTGCAGAGCTTCTGGCTGTGCCGCAGAGAAGCCCAGTGTTCCTTGGGCGCTCAGGCCATGAGGAGTCCAGCCTGTGACATGAGAAGATTGCTAAAGACCTCCTTCAGGAGGTTTATGTCTGCACGGATTTGTGACCATTAGTTTGTCGGGTTTTGACTTCTCTGGGGCTCTTATGTTTGCATAGGTTGCTAAAGGGCTACATCATCCTCTGAGGATTGTCCCAGCAAAACCTTCCCATTTATTTAAAAACAGAAAGTGATATCGAAGAGATGCTTATCATTCTATTCAAGTTTATTACTTACTCTACATTTCCCTCATAATAAATTCTTTGGAGATGAAATAGATTTGTTTGCTAGAGATGGTAGAAAAGGCCGCTCTCGCCTTCAGCTTGTGTTTGCATCCTCATTTGTGCAGGTGACTCCTGGTTGTTTTATGCAGATACTGGTGTGAGCACGTTTGGCCCTGTCTGTAACAGTGCTGGCTCAAATAACTCTCTGGGTTCCTCCATTCACGTGCTGAGTGATTGGCACCATCCTTGGGGCAGCAGGAGAGGCACTGGCACCCAGGAATCCTCGCCCTCAGGAGCTCACAGCCCCGTGGAGGGTGGACAGACAGGAAACTGCCTGAGGACCACAGTGCTGGCTCTGACAGACAAAGCAGGGAGAGACAGTAGAGCGGGATGGGTAGAGGATGTTGCAGTTTCCAGTAGAGGGGACCTTAATAAGAATGGAGGACTTGAGTGAGGGAGTAAGCTGGTGGGTGCTCCAGGGAAAAAGGATAGCAAGTGTAAAGGCCCTGAGGCCAGAGCATGTGACTGGGCTGTTCTAGGGTCTTGAGTAGGACCCAGTGGCTGCAGCACAGGGCAGGTGGAGGAGACCAGTGGACAGGCAGGGCCCAGAAAGGACTTAGGCTTTTCCTTTGCATGAGATAGGAGCCCCTGGAATGTGGAAATGATTTTAGCAGCATTACTGTGTCGTAGACTGAGGAGGCAGTGGGGAATGTGCGGGTAGGAGGAGAGACACAAGTTCACACAGTGCAGGTCTGTGGCTGGTCAGGGTGGGCGCTTGGTGAATAGAACATGTCCTGATAAGCCAAGTGCACTTTCTGCTATGCAGGAAACGCTTACTCACCCTCCTTTCTGGAGAGTTCCCTGCAGTTAGCAGGTGTGGTTGTTGCTGCTAAATAAGACACAGGAAGAGCAGATTCTTACATTGCAGTGTGTGCGTAAGGTAAGTATCTCCGTCCGTGAGACGAAGCAGGGATCTTGCCATTCGAGGAATACCTGCAAATCTTTGATACAGGTAAAGATTTGCAGATCCGTGTTTAGCGATTTTAAGGAACTGGGCAGCAGACTCTCAGGCTCTCCCCGGCTTCCCGAGTGCTTCCTCTTCTTACCGTGTAGCATCCCCTGCTCCTCTGCCCCCACCAGCCGCGGGCTCTGGTGAGGAGCAGCCGTGCGGCGACTGTGCGCCATGCAGCGGGGTTCTATGCCCGCTCTTGCTTCCTGGCGCCATCGCTCCTTTCCCCTCTTCCTCCACATCTGTACCTGGGCCATCCTGTCCTCTCTCCCATGTGCCCAGCCTTTCCACGTAAGCCACCTACCCATAAGGCCCCTCCCTGTGCCCAGCAGAATTCATGGCCTCCTTTCATTGCTTCTGCACCTGTGCCTGGCCGAGGAATGAGGTCTTTCCAGCCCTGCTTTCCCCTCCCTCTCTCGAGGTCAGCCGAGAGGTCTGTGACTTCTCAGGGTCTTGGCCACTGCCCTCCCCCTTTGTGGCCCTGAGGCTATAATTCATAGGGAGCACCCCACCCCCACCCCTGCTGTGGGTGAGAAGCCATGGGTGCCCTCTTCTCAGCCCTCGGGGCAGCCACCCCTGGGGCAGAATTGAGTTTGCAGTTTCTGGTTTTCTTTAACTGCTTGAAAATTCGGTGCTTGAGTTCAGAGGGATGGTTCTGCAGGGCACTCTGGCCCTCCTGGCCACCCGTATGTCCCACTGCCCTTGGCCTGGGCGGGGCTGGGATGCAGGTTCCCTGCTGTGAGGCCTTCAGTTTGCCCAGGCCTTTGCAGCAGTCACAGCCCCTCATCCCTCCTATTAATCACATGTGCTCTTTGCAGCAGGATGTCTTTTTGTTTATTTTTGCCTTTTTGAGACCGGGTCTCGCTATGCTGCTCAGACAGGCCTTGAACTCACTTTGTAGCCCAGGTTGGCCTCGAACTCGCAGCAACCCTCCTGCCTCAGCCTCCCGAGTGCTGGGATTACAGGTGTGTACTCTTGTGCCCAGCTGAGATCTTGTTTTTCACAGAAAATTCTGTAAGAGTTCTGAGACTTAACAGAGAAAGTTCTGGTTCCTGCACTGAGAGGCCTCTTTTGGACAAGACGTGTGTGGGGGATATGTTCCATGAATTTTTGATTAGGTTTGAAGTAATGTTTTCTCCAACCTCTCATTTTAAAAATGATATCTTAGCTAGGTCCTCTTGGAACTTTGAGTATAAATGTGTGGACTTGCCATGTCAGGCTGTGGCATATGAGGCCCATGAAGCTCCATTAGAAAGTGCTTTTATTATTCTGTGAATCCACTTGGAGCTCAGAGTCCCCCTCCCCCCAAGTGCTTCCGAGCTCCGACACGAAAAGCCCCTGATGAAGTCTGTTACCAGAGTTCTAGGGCAAAAAATCCAAGTCCAGGGGCCCTGACAGACTAGCCTCAGCCATGTAGCCCATAATGCCAGTCAAGCCGGGCACGGTGGCACATGCCTGTAATCTCCACAGTCAGGAAGCTGAGGCAGGAGGACTGTGAGTTCAAGGCCAAGCAGCACTACAGAGCGAGAGACCCAGTCTCAAAAAAAAAAAAAAAAAAAAAAACAGCAGCAAAAACATCAATCAAGGAGGTGAGCAAGGGTGACGGGAAAGGAGCTGTAGTCAGTGTGGCCATGCTGGGGTCCCAGGAAGGTTCAAGGTCTGTCTTTGAGGGGCTGACAGAGCTTTGGGGCCTTCCTAGAAAAGGGGAACAAAGACGAGGGTTGGGGGCTATGTAGTACACCAGTAATTGTGGTCTAGTTTTGGCCTGGCTGATTGGTATCTCAGGGTTGGTTTGGCAAGGTTCTGTGAGAGCCAGAACTGCGCATGGAGGCAGGCTGTGTCCCGTGATGATGGAACGGGGCTCAGGTCTCATTATGGGGTCATTGCTCCTGCTTGGGGTGGGGGCGCCTCATCATGGGGTGGTCCGCTGGGCCCTGGGTTTCCTGGAGTCTGAGGTGGCTGCAGGGTTAGGACAGTGCAGATTTCCAGGCATCACTCCAGGGAGTCTGGAACTGGCTGTTGTAGAAGCTGGTCCTGCAGCTCCTGAGAGCTACTCTTATCCGTGTCCTCAGTTTTGAAGGGGCTGAGCCAGGCTAGTTAGATTTAGGGCTAATCGACCTTGTGTTGCAAGACACATGTCAACTGATTAACATGCTCAGTGCAGAGCTGAGCAGGGGTCTGACCCAACGTTTTAAGGCAAGAAAGGAAACATAAAATGAAAGCAGAGACGCCAAGGTACCCAATGGGCATCTCAGGCTCAGCCTCTAGGTCCCCATTACAACACTGATGCCAGAACTGGAAGCCTTGGTTGTTCAGCTCTACTATCCCCTGTGGACCCCACTGCAGGTGCTGACTGCTCTCACAACTGCTCCCCCGCCTCAACAGGCTGGATTCCCTGGTGAAGTGCCTGCTAGTGAGAGGAAGGGATGGGTCTGCGTGGGGCTTTGGACCGCTGTGGCTGTGGGCTCTGTACACACAGCCGGGAGTCATCTCTGATTCTCTGCTAGACAGAATATTTTGATTCCTTTGACTGCAGTCAGATATGCAATTATTTTAAACGTATCAGTTTGAAAATCTTAATGCTTTGCCTAATGTTCACTGGAACATCAGTTTGTGGAATGTCAAGTAAAAATCTCCCAGCTTGAGGACTAGCCACAACGTGATTGATTATTTGGCATTTTTCACTTTCTCAGTGCTTAGGCAAAGTGAAGAAGTAACTTTCATTTGCAGTCCCATTTGTAAATCTAATTTTAATGCAGCCACTTATTCTTGTTAAGGAAAGATTTTTTTTTGAACATTACTCTGCAAATGTACTGAGTGGGTATAATCACAGGTAGTTTAATGAATGAACACACATTTAGTGAACTTTCAGAAAAGAGCCACGGGATATGGTTTTGCCGGTGCCCTTGACATAGTTTAGCTCTGAGGCTCACTGACTTTGGATTGTGAGAGAAGTTTGTGCATGGTTTAGAAGAAATTTTTCTGCAGAGGAGCAGGAAGAGGATGTTATCCTTTATGTGCAAAGCGTTACATGTAAAAAAACTCATCCATTCCCCGCATGCACAATCTACTGCCAGAGTTTGAGGTTCGCTCTTTCTTGCCAAATGGAAATGCCATTGTTAAGAATCTCCCCAGAGACAGAGGAGTAATTAGGACATAAACCTTTAGGGTTTATGTAGAAGCCTAGGCTGTTTTAGAGTCACTTTCTCCATCTTTACTGTGGCCCTTGAGGCCCACATACTATTACACCTGTGTCACAGATGGAAGTTAAGATTGCCAGGTTCATGAGTGACAGGATGTGAAACGATCCGCCACGATCTCATTCATGTCTTTTAAAAAATTGTGACATATCTTCTCACGCAAAAACATTGCAAGGAATCTCACTAGTACAAAGTTCCTACTAGTAAACAAGGCCGGCCCACTTCATGTGCAGAGTTTCTGGCTGTGTGCACTGCTGCTCTGAAGACTGGCGAGCTGTGCGAATGGGTGAATCCGTAGGTATTCCAGTTACAGATGGGAAGGTTAGCCGCAGAGCAGGAGCACCGGTGGGACTATGGTGCTGGTGAGACATAGTGGCCACCCAGCCGGATGTTACCACCAAGTCAGATCTGTTAACACCGGGGCAGATGCTGTGTATCTCTGCTCCAGGCCTTGAAGGTGGGCTGACTGCTGGCCTCTCTAGAGTCCCGGGGCCTCCCTGCTGCCCCCGGCAGCGGCAAGCATCTGGCTGGCACCTGAGGGTGCAGAGGACTTTGGAATACAACTAAAGTAGAGAAGGACATCCTGAGTGATTTCTCTCTTTTAACTTTGCCTCTGGTTCTTCTTGGCTGTTGACCTCCTGTCTGGGTGTGGCATTGGCTGCAGTTTTCCTGCCTGCTTCAGCACATCTTTTGAAGCAACCCAGTTTGAAGAAGTGAGACAAAAAGTAGGCTTTGACACAAAAAGCTACATCAGAGTTGACTGTTCTCCTGCCAGGGTTCTGTCAGAAGCCATAGGATGGAAACCCCCTGTGTGGTTCTCCTCAAAAACACAGCAGTCCTCCCTTTAACTGCATGGAGAGGGCTGGGCTCCAAGGATTACCTGGGCCTTTCTGAGGTGTTGGAGGAGGGACGCGTGTCTAAGAGCATGAGATGGCCCAGAGCTTCCTGTTCAGCACAGGGGGCCAGTTCATTCAGGGAGGCCTGGGAGGCGGCCTGCTGGTTCTGATGTCAGTCCGTCTGGTATAAAGCACCATGGGCACTGTGTGTTTGCATAACGTGCATTTGGTTATGATCACAGTGAGGGAGGAGAGCGGAAGGGGGAAGGCGTTAAACACTGTTGTGAGTCTGTCACCCGCTCTTGCACATGAGTCCTGGTGGCCCATGAATCCACTCTCCCCCTGTGGTCTCGGTCCCTGCAGAGACCTCCTTGCTTCAGTGACAGTGGAAATTAAAACTGAGGCAAGAGCGCAAACTTACAGGCAAATGTTCAACGGAGAAGGGAACGAAAATGGGTCAGGGACATCAGTTTAGCGAGAAGAGGTGAAGGGGCCCAACTCTGATGCAGAAGATCGGATTGGCCCCAGCACAGAGAGAAGAAACAGGCTTTTACAGTGTCGCTGAGCTGGGTGAGGGTCTAGTACGTTTCCACAGGGTCATGAGGGTGTTATATGTAAGACTTTGTCCTCGTATTTTGGGGGATTTCCTTCCCGTGTAGGCTGTGGATTAGTGGCTGTTCTCACCCTGGGAGACATCTGAGTGCTATCCCTGCTTCCCCTGCTGTTACAGTGCACCTGGCCCTTGCCATAAGAGTGGGCGGATGAGGGAAGAGCGAGTTCCATACGTTACTGGCAAGGGAGGATGGGGGAAGAACAGGTGTCCCCCTCTTGTGGGCAACAGGTCATCCATTCAGCCTAAGAACCTCTGTCTCTTGTCGCTGGAAGGCTCCTGTCCTATTTTCTGGTTGTCCCTTCACACTGGGATCATCTAGACCAGGGTTTCCAGAACAGTCCTTGGCTTCGTAGGTTGAGAGAACTGACTTTCAGTTAACCAAGAGCCAAGTATATCTACTGTGGCTCATCGGCAGGTAAAGGAATTTTCAAGTGTGAATTGAGTTGTGGTTGAATGTGTCTTAGTGCCGACTTCAGAAACAACAGCAGTGGTGACTACTTCGTGTAAATTAGCCCCATCTCTGCTCGCAGCCCTGACAAGCCTGTCCTAAAGTCTGAACCCCCTCAGCCCTGCCCCGCAGTCTGGCTGAGCTTAATTAGGTGTCTTCCCAGCCTGAGAGAGCAGTAGCTACCAGCCAGATGGCTTGGCCTCGGAGTTTGTCTCCTCACACTTCTGTTACAGTGGTAACACTGTTGGGTGGGATAGTTGTGAGGCTGAGAGGACAGCAGTGAGAGCCCTTGGGAAAGTCTGGCTTCCAGAAAGTGTTCCCCCCGGGACCTGTTGGCCTAGTTTTGTCTCTTCCCAGTGGGGGAACTAAAAGCCCAGGGAGATGTCCAAAGTCACGTCTGGTCGTGAATGCCTGGGGACTGTCTGCTCTTCTTGAGGCTTAAGGTACCCTTAATAATGGTGTGGTCTGGCCCAAGCTGAGCCCCACGGTGCTGGCAAGGGAAGGTCCTGACACAGATCCTGAGGGCGTCTGTATATTATGGGATGGTTAAGCCAGGCTTGAGGAAACTTTCTCCCCTGGAAATACAGTCAAATTTACCTAATTCGGAGTTGTTGGGGTTTTTTTTGTTTTTTGTCTTTTTGTTTTTTTAAAAAAAGAGGATTAAGATACAGGCAAGCCCAGATCTTGGATCCTAGGCTGGAGAACCCCCAACCTTTAGGTAGGTGGGTGGTGCATGTCACACTCCGGCTCGAGGTAGGTTGCGGGGAGGAGTTTGCAGTGATTTCTCCGATGTCAGGAGAGCCTTTGCAGTTGTTTCTTGCTCTCAGGATAGATGCAGAGCTCATCAGTGTACTTTGTAGAAGCTTAAATGCCAAGGTTTCACCCTGGCGGTCTGGTCAGACCCCACACCATCTTCTTCGCTGCACGCGGGCTCCTTGCTCAGCCCCTGCAAGCTCAGCAGGCCTTTCCCTTCCACAGGGCCTTGCATGTGCCCTTTTCCTCTGGCCCTTCGTCATGGAGACTTTCCCTTCTCAGGCCAACCTTCTTGTTGGTGGCCTCCTTGTTTAGTGATTGAGCAGCACCTACCACTTTCCTCTGCTCCCTGAGGGGAGACTTCAGGCCTGTCTTGTTCAGGCTGCCGTCTCGGTGTCCTGTGCTCTGCCAGGCACGTGGTTGGGCACATGCGGCGGGTGGTTGACCCCGCGGAGGTAAGAGGCCCGCTGTGTGTCGCAGAGCTTCTTCTGGCTCAGATCTCTGAATCTCCTGGTCCTCATCGCCCTTTTCCTGCACGTGTATGTACATGTGCGCGCGTGCGTGTGTCCTCCTGTCTGACTTTCCCCCTTCTCTCCCTGGAGGTGTGCTGAGGCTCCTGGAGCATGGGGAGGAGTACGTCTTCACCCTGCCCAGTGCCTATGCCCGGTCCATCCTCACCATTCCATGGGTGGAGCTCGGAGGAAAAGTGAGCATCAGCTGCGCCAAGACTGGGTACTCGGCCGCAGTGACGTTCCACACGAAGCCCTTCTACGGAGGGAAAGTGCACAGGTAGGGGCGGCCGGGGGGGTGCTGGCTTTGTCTTATCGCAATGCCCTGAGTTTCCTTTCTTCACTAGAAGCTTGAGTTGTGAGGTGGAAGGAGTTAGAAATCAAAATAAAGTTACCCCACCCCAGCTGCCATGGCACTGGGGATTGAATCTAGGGTTTTGCATTGAGCTACATCTCCAGCCCTTTCCTTATTTTTTATTTAGAGGCATAATCTTGCTAAGTTGCCTGGGCTGGGTTCGAACTAGCAGTCCTCCTGCCGCAGCTTTGTAGAACCTTGGATTACTGGTATGTACCACTGCACCTGCCAGCTGGCCTTTTTCAGAAGAAGCACATCATTTCTCCACTTCACCAGCAAGTTTTTGGAGCTCTTCCTGCTTTAATTTATTAAGAGACCCTTTGGTGATGCATTCATAGAACACGCCCCAGAATGAAAAAGGCACTTTCCTTGTTGCAGTAAACTCCTTTCTGTGGCCACAGCCTGCTTCCCTGCTCTGACATGATTTGCCCTGTGAGCCTGCACACTGCTAGTGATCTCAGTTAACTCCCCTGGATCAGGTATCTTGTGTCTGAGATGGGACCATTTCTTTCCTTTCAGAAGGTTAAACTGCAGGAGAGGTCTGCTGTTTGAGGAAACAAGTTCTCACGGCTCTAGCTGTAGAAAGCCTCCTTGGGAGCAGACTCACTGCATGAGCCCGCCTTCATCCACGCCCCTTTCCCAGACCGCACTGGTGTGAACAGAAGCAGCCAGCACACTCTGCGCTCAAGGGCTGATTGTGTTGTTCGCCCAGGCTCTGTGTTCAGTGCTATCACGTTAGTTGTTGAAATACACAGAAGTTAGCCCGAGCAGAGAGGTCTGGTGTTTCCGTCAGGAGGGCAGCCACTGTCCTGTAGCAGCACATCCCTGCTGCCCTCCACCGCATGCGCCCTTATCGCTGCTGCTCAGGAGCCAGCATGGTTGTCAGGCTCAGGGAGAAAGCTTCCAAGCCTGGATCTGGAAACTAAATTCAGCCTGAGCAGGGAATTGCATCAAGAGGACATTAGTTCCTTGCCCTGTCTGTTTTGGAGCAGCTTCCTATTGCTACTGTTGCCCAGACTATGCAGAAAGCAGAAGGCAGGGAGCCGCTGGGCATCCGCACACATTTAGCTGGAGTAGAGACCTGGGAGAGACCCTCAGAAGGGCTGGGGAGAGAGCGGTCACCAGTGTCACAAAGGCCTTGTTGAAGGTGGTTCCTCCAGCCACTGCTGTGCTGTGTAGGGCTGTAGTCTGGGCATTGCCTAACCCTCAGTGAGGGCGCATGTGGACACCCAGGGGGTGCTGCCCTCCCCCAGCATGAGTTCTGTTGGTATTGTGAGCAGCCCTATTTGACTCCTATTTGGAATTTGCCCTTGTTTGAGGATGGAGAAGCTCTCCCTACACTCCTGTAGGCTTTTGGTGGTTAAAATGTAGCACCACTAAATGATATTTTTGTACATATTTGCAGTTCATAATGTTTACATTCATGGTGGGGAGTTGCTACATGTACAAAACCTGTCTTAAGGTTCTTACACTAGGGAGACAATGCGATGTTTACACATTCGGGTCTGATTTAACTTATGAGTATGGTCTCTAGTTGCATCCATTTACTTATAAAGGCCTCGAATTTATCTTTTTTTATAGCTAAAGATAATAATATGTAATATAACAACCACTGTTAATTCCTATCATTTTGTTCTGAAACCTTGTATCATTTTTATTGTTTTTGCTTTGTTTTGTTTTTGTCTATGTCATTGGTATTTTGCTATTGTTCTTTTTTCATTTTCTTTAAAATAAAAAGTCTTAATTCCTTTTCATACCCTCCATCACTTGATATCCTTCCCATTTGAGAAAGATGAATCTTTCTACTTACTATTATCTTGTACTTTGCTCTTTGTTTCTCATGTAAGAGAAACCATGTAATATTTACACTTATCTGTCTGGTTTATTTCATGTAACATTATAGTCTCAAGGTGCACCCATTTTTCTACAAAGGAGTCATTTGTCTTGTGGCAGAGTAGTGCTCCTTTGTGTACAAATACTGCATTTTCTTTATCCATTTCTTTGTCAATGGACATATAGGCTGCTTCCAAGATTGAGCTGTTATAAATTGTGCTGCTATAAACATGGGTCTGTGGTATGCTGTCTTTAACTCTTTCAGGAAGATACCTAGAAGGAACATAGTTGGGTCAAGTGGAATTTCTAGTTTTAGTTTTTTGGGAATCTCCAGTGATTTCCACAGTGTTGTACTGCTTTACATTCCCACCAACAGTGTAGAAGGGTTCCTTTTCCCCTGCAGCCTCTCCAGCATTCCTTGTTGCTGATTTTTTGATAATGGCTATTCTTTCTGGGGTAAGATGGAACCTGAGTGTCATTTTCATTTGCATTTCTTTATGGCCAGTGATGTACAGTGTTTTTTCATTTATTGGTCATTTGTACTTCTTCTTGTGTCTTGCCCATTTTTTTTAGTTGGGTCTTTCATTTGAGGGGTGGATTCTGGTGTTATTTTTTTGAGTTCTTTATATATTCAAGATACTAGCCCTCAGGAATAGCTGGCAAAATTTTTTTCTATTGTGTAGGTTGTCTCTTTACTCTGTTGGTTGTTTCCGTTACTGTGAAGAAACTTTTTAATTTTATAGGACCCATTTATTGATTCTTGGTAGTGTTTCCTGTGCAGCCAGGCTTCTGTTCAGAAAGTCCTTGCCTACACCTATGACTTCAAGGGTTTTACCTATTTTATCTTTCAGCAGGCTGTTTCTAACAGGTCTTTGATCCATTTTGATTTTAGTTTATTTAATACATGGTGAGTTTTCCCAGCACCATTTATTAAAGAGGCTATCTTTCCTCCAGGGTATATGTTTGTCCCCCTCATCAAAGAACAAATAGTTGAATGTGCCTAAGGTTGTTTCCACATCCTCTGTTATGTTCCATTGATCCTCATGTCTGTTTTTGTGCCAGCACCATGCTACTGAAGCTTTGTAATACAACTTTGGATTGTGATGTCTCCCACTTTGCTCTTGTTACCCAGGACTGCTTTTGCTATTGAGGTCTCTTTTGGTTCCATGTAAATTTTAGAATTGTTTTCTCCAGTTCTGTGAAGAGTGCTCCTGGTATTTGGATTGGAATTGCATTATCAGTTTTGAAAGTATGGTCATTTTTAGTGTATTGGTTCTCATCCTGGCCTGGCTCACACATGTTTATTAGGGAGCTAGGGGGATGGAGAAACACTGCCCTGTCGCCTTGCTTCAAAGACTGCACATCCGCACCTCGGCTGGACCAGGGCTATCCAGGAACAAGGGGTATCTTTCCATTTTCTGATGTTCTCTTCAATTTCCTTTTTCAGAGCACTCTAGTTTTCATTATAGAGGTCTTTTACTTCCTTGGTTAGGTTACTTTCTAAGTATTTCATTTTTCTTGTTGCTTTTATGAATGATAGTTTTTGCTAATTTCATTCTCCGTGGTTTCATTATTGGTGGAGAGGAATGCTATTGATTTCTGTGTGTTGATTTTGTAACCTGCTACACTGCTGAATTTGGTTATTTATTCTAGAAGTCTTTTGGTGGTTTTTTTGGGGGGGAGTCTTCTATATAGGGACTCTTTGTCACTACAAATAATGGTAATTTGACTTCTTCCTTTCTGGTACATATCCCTTTTCTTTCTTTTTCTGGTCTAATAGCTCTTGTTAATGTTTTGAGTCCGATGTTGAGCAGCAGTGGTGATATTGGATGTTAGATGCTAGTTGGGAGAAAAGAGAGTGTATTTTGTTTTTCCTGAATTTCTTCATTTCCATCACAGTGATGACATCTTATATAACCACTTTGTGAACACTTCCTAAAATAAGAAACATTGCTACATTACTGTTAACTAATCCACAGACTTTAATAAGATTTGACCAGTGTTTGCACTTCTTCTGATCATGGATATTAGATCATGTTTTAAAACTTAGTCTTTGGGCCAAACTGCAAAAATAATCCTTGCTTCGTAACCCCCTAAAATCTCTAAATATAAGGGCCCTTCTGAAGGCTTTTTTTTTTGACTCATTCATTAATTCAGGGTCACAGCTGAAGTAAAGCACAATCCGACCAACACCATCGTCTGTAAAGCTCATGGGGAGTGGAACGGCACCTTGGAGTTTACCTACAGCAACGGAGAAACCAAAGTCATCGACACGACCACCCTGCTGGTGTACCCGAAGAAGATCAGGCCTCTGGAGAAGCAGGGGCCCATGGAGTCCAGGTGGGAATCGGCCTGTGTGGGCCCTCGGCTTTGCCCCTCAGTACCGGACTGAGCACAGAGCAGAAGCTTTGAAAGCACAGCTGCTGGACAAGGGCCAGGAATCACTTTCTGGCTTCTTTAGCTGTCTGTACCCCCACCCCCGGCCTCAGCCCCGCTTAGGAGTAGGGCCAGTTAGCTGGGATTGGGTTGTGCTGCAGTGTGGGGTGGGCAGCGCAGGCAGTCCATGGCAGACTTTTATTGCTGGCGCGAAAAGTTCGTCAGCTCAGCTGATGAGTTGGTTGGTTGTAGAATTAACTGCTGAAAGTTGCTAGTAATTGAAGAACTGTGCAGTGAAGCCATGAAATACTTGTTTCCTTACCAGATTAGCAAGGTTATTTAGAATATAAAAAACAAAAGCAACTCAGGTTCTGGCAAGGGCATAGTGTAATGAGCTCTGCACCCCTGTCCAGGGTGTATGTGATTTACCTGCATGGGTCAGTAGCTTTAAACTTGTGAATTCTTATATTTTACTTCTCAGAATCTATTCTCAGGGAAAATTCTTAAACTCATAAAAGATTTTAAACTGTTTTTTTTTTTTTACAAAATAAAAAATCTAGACAACAAAAGAGAAATCACTTATCTGCCCAACTCTACTCTGTGTAATAATATTATGTAGCTACTTAATGTAACATTTTTTAAAGTGAAGTTTATACGGTACACAAGCAGAATCTTCTTGGAATATGCCATTTTCATTTTTCAGTCTATGCCATTATCCCATGGCTGATTTTGTGTGTTCTTTCTTTCTTTTTTTTTTTTTTAATAGAGCCACCATTGTTCACAGCTGTGCATGGTTTATGGCTGCCCTCCTGCTACACGGCAGTGTTACAGAGAGCCCTTCCTGGTCCCTGCTGCCATGTGGGAAGTTTATATTTGTAATCCTGTGGAAAAGTTATTGGAATTCTAGCCAGTTAATTCCAATCTACCACTTCCAGTGTAATCCACAGCAAGAATAAAGACACTAAGGCATATTTGTAGTGATGGGGAGCAAAGGGGTCCTAAGTTCAGCTATGATGAATGTTAACCAGAGCAAAGGCCCTGGCTCAGGGCCGAACCCAGGTTTTATTAATTTGTGAAGCAGGGCGTGGCTCAAGGATGAGTAGTGACTGCGAGAGTGGCAGGAAGTATGTGAGTGCTGTGAACTGGGCTAGGCAGGAGGCCTGAAATCACCTCTGCAATATGCAGAGAGAAGGACATGCAGAAAGAGTAACCTGCATGACATAATTGAGGGTAGTATCTAATGTATTGGGAGAGGTGCCTCAGCTCTGATGTGTAATCTTTTATGCCTTAGGAAGTCATAGCCTCTTACATGGACTCTTGATCCCAGCCGACAGCATGGAGCACGGCTCTCCACCCTGCCCCCGCTCACACATGTTTATTAGGGTGCTAGGGGGATGGGGAAACACTGCCCTGTCGCCTTGCTTCAAAGACTGCACATCAGCACCTCAGCTGGACCGGTCTGCATTGCTTAAAGCCAATTCTGGGGACAGGAAAGGTCCTAGCCTGCTCTGCATACAGCAATACATAGAAATGGGGTCAGGGTCAGCCAAAATGGAGACAACTGCTCCTCTGTCAAAGAGAGTCGACCAGTAGTCCTCCACAGTTACAACTAAGACCATATGACCCGCAAAGCCTAAAATGCTTACTGTCTGATCCTTTGTAGAAAAAGTGTGCCAGCTCCTGCTGTAATCTAAAAGTTATCACATTATGTAGGTTAAAATGATATTTCAAATGAGTCTATGGAAGGATTTGCTACCACTAGAAGAGTTTGCAACCAAATGGGAGAAGTGCTTATTAAGTGGAAACAGAACAGGTATATAGCAGCATGTATAAATAATACATCCTCACTGGGACTGGGGATTTAGCTCAGCGGCACTGCGCTTGCCTGGCAAGCTCAAGGTCATGAGTTCAATTGCTGGTACCGGAAGAAAATCAAAACAAACAAAAAAATATATCATCACTGAATTTATTGAAAACAGAGCTTCAGCATCCCTGGAACCTTACCTTTTTTTAAACCTCGTTTGAGGACAGTGACCGTAACTTCTCTGTGTCCAAATGGAGGCCACAAACTCTTCTGATTGTCTTTTTTAACCCCAGCGTATTGGGTGGTGGTAGCAGGAAAAGGGAAAGGTGCCAGTAAGAAACACATCCCTGGCCACACTGCCTCTGATGAACCTTCCCTGGTCCAGGAACCCTGTGCTTCCTGCTGTGCGGGGACTTGTTTCCTGGTTGACCATTGAGGACAAAACTCTGAAGACTGCCGCTGTTCTGCCAAGGATATTAGAGTAGCTTAGCTGCTCCTCGTTATGACTCTGCTGCTTCAGTTAGCCCGTGAAAAAGTTATTGGAATTCTAGTGAGTTAATTCCAATCTACCACTTCCAGTGTAATCCACCACACTCAGAATTCAACCCAGAACGGGTGGGGTCTGGTTCTGGACTAAGAAAGGAGGGCTGTTGCTTCTTTTTGTCTGTGTATACTGTGTAGAGCTGTGGAGCTGGACTGTAGAGATGGAGCCAACCCACCCTGTTCGCTGTGGAGGACACAGCCTTGTAGAGGGACTGGTCCCAGGGCTCCCTTACCGCTCACAGCACTTGTACCGACTGTCTCCAGTGCATGCCCCGGGCCTTATCTGCAGGGCCAAAAGTAGGGACTGTCAGCTTGACTGAGTGGACCAGTGTATGGCCAGCTGTCTTGGCTGCCACGGCGGAGCCAGCCCTGGTGAGGCTTCCAGTGTCCAGCTAGTCCCCTGGGAAGGGAACCACTGCTGTGTGAGGGGGAGGTGAAGATGTTTCGTTATCTGCCTGTACCTGTGTGTCTGTTCTGATGTCCAGAATGTGCTCTGATCAAGGCTCCCCGCTTGGCCAGAGCCAGTGCCCAGTGACAGTGGCCCTGCTTCTGCTGCTCGCCTGCCCTTCACCATGTTGGCTTTCTCCTTAGGAAGGACTCCCTTGGCTTCTTTTTGTTTTTTCCTCACTGAAGGCTTCTTACCGTTCTGCTTTTTAGCTCATGTTTAGAGCCATTCCCCAGTGAGTCCGTACTCACTCACCAGCCTCCTCACACTTAGTGACTCCTGTTGCTGGGTCCTTGTGTTTGCGGAGAGCCCTTTGTAGGAAGGTCTTGCCCTGCTTGCCCCCTCCCCACATCCTTGGGGCTCTCTGCACTCTGAACTTCGGCCGCTGTTCTGTCTTAGAACGTCTCCTGAAAGGCCTCCCCCCGACAGGAAGGCCCACCCTGGCTGCCCTTGTGTCCCTCATCCCCACACTGATTTCTTTCCTTACCTCACTGCACTATTTGGGGCAGTCTGTCCATCTGTCGAAGGACAGACTTCCTACCTCCCGCCCCTCCCCTTCTCCCCAGCCTTCCCCTTCCCTCCTCTGATGGGAATAGTCCTCATGCATTCCAGGCAAGCTACATTCCAGTCCAGTTCTTTTGCATTATTTTACATATTTATTTGGTACAGTGTGGTCATTCAATACATATCTATAACGTGTAACAATCAAATCTGGGTAGTTAGCCTTTCCATCTTCTTAAACAACTATCTTCTTTTTGTTTGTTTAAAACTTTTGGACTTCTCTCTTGTAGGTCTTTATAAAATATATAATAAATTGCAAAATAGATCAGCCTACTGTGCTATAGAATGTTAGAACATATTCGTCCCAACTGTATTTTGGTAAGCATTATCCAATTCCCTCTGTAGCCTCTGATGACCACTATTCTATTCTCTCCTTTTTAAAAAACTCAACTGTTTAAGCGTCCACATATGAGGGAGAATATGCATTACTTATCTTTTTGTGTCTGGCTGACTCGACGTTACGTAATATTTTCCAGTTCGTTCATGTTGTTGGAGAGGACAGGATTAAGAGTATTCCATTGTGTGTGTATGCTGCATTTCCTTTATCCATTCATCTGCGGATGGAATCTTTCCACCAGGACATACCAGAAACAGCAAGAGCTATGAGGCCAGTTACACCTGTTTTTACACACCAGCTCCACAGCATTGTGCTCCTGGTGGGATATGAGCTGGGGCTGGTGGGAAGGGGAGTTTGCAGCCAGAGCTTGACCCTCAGCATCAACTTTTCTTGGAAGGTGCTGCTTGCTGTTCCTGGTTTAATGGAGACATATTGCCCTTCCTGGGCCCAAGGAGGCCTCAGCACTCCAGGCTCTGTACTGTGCTAAGCCCTTGCTGTGGAAAGGGACCAGAGCACTCCGGGGAGGAGGTGGAGCTAGTGAGCCTTCCCTTGACTTGGGTGCAGAGGATCATTTCCTGGAGACCAGGGAGGGAATCTGCACCACTGAAAATTCTGATAGTTCCTTTTGTGTGAAACTGTGGCTTCTGATGTACTTAAATGAGGAGGCATATGGCTGATAGTGTCCCGCTTTACATGGGTTTTTTATCTCAGCCGCTAGATCAGGGTGTTCTTCTGAGTCTCTGGGAAGTCCTGAGGAGAAAAACTGCATAGCTGCATGGTAGACACAAGTCAGTCTTGACTGCCTTTTTTCTGAGTGAACAAGACAGAGAAGTACCTTTTTGTGTACATGTTGGGGCAGATGACAAGTCCTGCACCATAAAGACATGCGCATGCACACACACACACATACACACACACACACACACACAAACATGCACACAAACCAGGGTCAACCTTCTTCTTTAGTTCCAGGTTCTCTTGTGGGAAGCTCCATCACTTAACCTTATGTGGATATTAATTTTCTGTATCACTGCCTTGTGAGGATTAAATGAAATTATATATGTAAAATGCTTAGAAAAGTGTATGGTAAACACCATGTAAATGTCTGCTGTCACTGCTGTTGGTAGTAATAGTATTACAGTGCCTTCTGTCGTTACAATAGATTTGATCTCTCGGAGCTCAGAGCACTGAGAAAGGTGTGCTTTCTGGGACACATGGAAAAGTGTGGGCAGCATGGACCTGGAGCTAGGTGCCCTGGGTTCAAATGCTGGCTCTTGTAGCTTTGAGTCACCCCAGAGAGAGCTCCCCTGGATGCCCCTCCCCTGCTCTGTCACTTCATCATCCTGCTGCCCCTGGCCCTGCCTGATTGTTGCCCCTCTGCATTATCAGGAATCTCTGGCAGGAGGTGACGCGATACTTGCGCCTAGGGGACATCGATGCGGCCACTGAGCAGAAGCGACGCCTGGAGGAGAAGCAGCGGATAGAGGAACGGAATCGGGAGAGCCTCCGCACACCATGGCAACCCAAATATTTTATCCAGGAGGTAACGTCCACACCTGTTATTGGGCTCTTGCCCTCGAGAGTTTGTACCAAGTGAAGGGCAGATGAATTTTCTTTCTAACCAAGCAGTTTAGGTAAATGGGGACCGGCAAGGCAGGGGAGTCCTGGGATGGCTTGGGGACAGCTCGGCTGTCCAGCTTTAGACCAGAATTCACAACAAATTTTCTGCAACAATATTTGTAATAACATCTTGGGGCCTACAACAACCTTGAGGGAAGAACTGAGCAGCTGATACTTCCCCCTCTTTACTCGGCCACCAGAAAGTCCCATTAGCCTGCTGGGGAGAGGCAGGATTGGGACTGCAGACCTGGATACTGTTCTGTTTAGGAACACCATGATCCTATTTACCATTTGTACAAATTAGTTGTGAAGCACCTCACTCTTGCCTGTGCACCTAGGTGGGCTGGGGCCCTCATGCTGGAAAATGAGCAGGGCTTTGGCTCTTATGGGCCACATGGGCTGGACATCTGAGGGCAGACCATTGTGGGTCCCTTACCTGAAATGCACCTGTCACTTAGTAAGTGATGCTGGAAGGCAGAAATGATACCCGTATGAGCACCTCCCCGCTGGCAAGTGGGCCAGGCACTGTGTGCCCAGTGGAGACACTTACGCCCTTGTTGCTAGCAGAGTAATTGGGAAGTGTACTGGGGACACGTATGAAAATGTAGACCCACAGGTAGGTGGGCCCTCAGGAGCCCCGTCATGCAGAGAAGCAGGCCAGTGAGGAATGAGGCAGACACCCCAGAGTCTTTACTGAAGGAAAGGGTTTTGCTCACCTGCAGGTCATTGTGGACTAATTCTTCATGAGGAACTATGAAGATTTTTAAAAATGAGAAATGTGATGTTTGTATGATACCAAGTAATTTAGAAATTTTTAAATACCGGGAGCCAAGCAAAATGGCACTTTCTTTAGCCCAGGTGCCGCTAATCTCTGCTTTCTGCCACAAGGAGGGATCCTTCTGCCCAGACAAGTGATGGCAAACCTTTCAGAGCTTTCATTGGCCACAAACAGCCAGCTGTGGCACACGTGCCATAGGTTTGCTACTGCTGGCCTAGACACAGTCGGGGGCGAGCTGGGTAATAGAATACTTTGCGGGTGGACTTATGAGTAGGAGCAGGAAGCCAGGTGACTCTGCCTTTAGGGGTCACTAGGTGGAAACCCCATAGGGACCCTCATCCAAGTGAAGTTGAACCCTCAAAGGACCCTTTAGTGAGATGGCTCCTATGTCTTGGAAACAGCTAGTTTGCTTCACTTTTGAGGGAAGTAGTGCATTAAAGGCTAACAAAAACAGGTTCTTCTCCTTAAGTTTAATAAAAGCCAGTGGTTCAATTAACAGAAGGTTTGGGACCATGTAAAGAATAAAAATCCTCTCAACACTAAATTGGTTAACACTTAACATATCCCTTGCTGGTTTAGCACCAGGTGGTATATACCATTTTGATTCTTGGCTTTTTCTTACTTGATAATTGATGGGTGGTGGTCTTTTATGTGCTGAAGAGATCCTTAGGTGGGTGTTCGTCTCCAGGATGGTGAGCTGTTAAGTCATTGGTTTGGGCAAATTCCACACGTGTCCCTTCCCTTTCCTTCCCCTGTCCATTCATTCAGTCACTCTTGCTCTTATCTCATTGGTTTAAAGTGTTTTTTGGCCAAGAAATCTGTTTGATATAAACCAACAAAACTCCATTTTGTTTTAATCATGTCATGGGGTTTCCTCTTGAAATGCTAAGATAGGAGATGCTCTGAGCTCTGCAAGTACCCAGGCGGAGGAGTGCCATGAGACCACTGGCTTTGCTTGGGTAGAGAGTGTTGGGAACAAGGGAGATGAGCACGGGTCAGTGGAAGTCCTGGGTGTCCACTGCATTGCTTCGGTACATCAGAGGCTGGGGTACCTGTTCCGACTTCTCTGTTTTCCCCACTGAGAGCTTTTCTGTAATACCTTCTTCCTTCTCTTTCAGGGTGATGGCTGGGTATACTTCAACCCCCTGTGGAAGGCACACTGATGGGGTGATGGTGTGGAGCTTTCCTAGAGAGGCCTGTTTTTGTAGAAATTAAAGTGGTACAGTATCAAGGTTCTGTTGGCATTCACTGAGAATTCTTGTTAGCATCTAAGAAGTGGTTTCAGAGAAATTATATACTGTGAAAACTGCACCCCAAACTCTGCTAGAGGATTGAATTTATTCAAGAGCCATTTGGGGCACATGTGACATTGTATATGTTCACACATGCACTATGTACATATCTGTTGAGTATTACTACACATGTAAATACTGCACTCACCGAGGTTTAAGGGGGGGAATCATGAGCTCCTTTTTATCAATGAGTTTTGAAGTTTTCTATTTTTCACTTTGCCAAAAAATGTTTTGCACTTGAAAGATGTTTTCACTTAGTCAGTTCCTGTCAAGATGAAGGTTGCACTGGTATGGCCCCACTGATGTCCCTGTGGCAGAAAGCGCTCACTGCTGGGAGAAGCATGGGTGGCGATAATTTCATAATTATTGGGATTTTCACCTCCCTCTCCGCCTCAGTGTTTTGTTTGTCCACACCCAAGAAACATAAACTCTTTTCCTGCTGAGTGCCAAGGGTGGGGAAGAAGCTGATGGAAATTAATGCCAGACCCTTCCAGGATGGATCCCCGCTGGGAGAACCTAGCGCCAGGCTCCACTGGGAGTTTTCTTCCCATCTTTCTGATGGTTTCTCATGCACAAAGCACCAGTCATACATTTTTCAGAACTTGCTTCTTTTACAGTAGAAAACAAATCATATACTGATCTCACTACTTTTATGAAGAAAAAAGGGCTTTAGAAATTAAATACATGCACGCATACAAAACATGCACAACTACCGCCTCAATCTTAAATTTAGTTTGGGAAAGGGAAAGAATTGCCTGTGGATTTTTGTTCTTAAGTGCACCTTTATGGTTTGACCCAAACTCTGCAAGAAAGCCACTGTGACTAAAACATACATCACGCCTGCATACATGTTCTGTGCTTTCAGTTGATTTCAAGTCCTCGGTCTTTACAAATGAGGTCAAAGACATGGCCAAAACAAAAAGCAAGGGAAAAATGATTTGGTTTTTGCTGAATGCTTAATTTATTTTTTACTGTGCCACTCCAGTGATATTTATAAAATCCAGTAGCATGAATGCTTCTCTGTAGTAATACGAAGTTTGTGCCTTTTGTCTGCTTTCTTAAGACCAGTTCACACTTTGTAGATATTAGACAAATATATTTCGATTAAATACTATACCTGTCTCTGTCTGTTTTGTTCAAAAGTTATGCTATATTGGTGGCTGTAAGTGATCTTAAATTCTTGGTTAGACACTTGTCGTTATTGATTTGGATATTCTATGTATTATATCCAAATGTGATCTAAGCACATTTAAAAATCTCAGGCAAATATTATTTATGGATAATTTTTAATAAATTAATAAACGTCATTTAGTGAGTGTTTCATGAGCAGTTTCCTACTAGAAGTTATAATGTAAGCTTGTTCAGCACCATAGTCTTAAAACATATGGATTAAATCAGGCCTGGTGGCACACACTTACAATCCCAGCACTCTGGGAGGCTGAGGCAGGAGGATCAAAAGTCTGAGCCCAGTCTGGGCAACTTAGTGACTTGGTGTTTTAAAACATAAAAAGGGCCTAGCATGGTGGCACATGCCTATAATCCCAGCACTCGGGAGGCAGAGGCAGGAGGATTGTTGCAAATTCGAGGCCAGCCTGAACTATATAGTGAGACCCTGTCTCAAAACAAAACAAAACAAAAAGAAGAAAACCCAAAAAGCAAAACCAAATCCTAAAAAAGGTTGGAGATCATTGAGTGCAAAGGTTCAGTCCCCAGTACAATAATAAAAACATCTGGGTGAATAAAGTGGTTGGAATCATTTTATTTCTAAGGAGAGTGGAGCAGATGCTGTTCTGTGGAAAGAGAGAGAATCATCAATGTGAATTAAAACTAGTCCACTGTGGTGTCTAGTCTGACATGCAACATGAACCATCTGGGAAGCAAAACACGGAGAAGCTCAATTTTCAGGTGTGGCAGGGTTTATTTTGCTTTTTGAAATTGTGAAGTATCACATACTAGATTTATATTAAATGTATGTAGAACTCCAAGAATAATTGAACATGAACGAACCACTGCTTATGTATGAAACCTAAGGGTGCAGTACCTTAAGGGATCATTTCCTCTACATGGCTATATTTCTGCCTTGCCCTCCTTGTTGTAATTGTCCCCTTGTTTTCTTTTAGCTCTAAATACCATGTATTTCTAAGCATGCTTGGCTTTATATACTTTTTGATGTCATACTATATCATACTATAGTTTGCTTATTTAAGCCAATACTTTATTTCTAGGTCAATACATGTTGTTATGAGTTGTTCTTTTAATTTATTCTTTTTCTGAGTCATTATGTTTTCTTAATTTTATTGTGGTAAAATATATAACAAAGTTTATTATTTTAACTATATTTAAGTTTAGTGGCATTATATTTGCATCACCACTATTGACCTCTAGAACTTTTATATCTTTCCCAAAATTCTGTACACTTATTTAAGAGTAACTTCCCCCTTCTGTCCTCTCTCTGTCCCTGTCAACCACAAATCTGCTTTCTGTCCCTATGAATTTGACTACTATTACCTCTCAGATGTGTAATTGTGCTTCTAGCTTACTTCACTTAGCATATGTGGAAGGTTCATCCGTGTTGTAGCATGTGTCACAATCTAAGGCTGAATAACACCCATTCAGTTTCCTTATCCATTTGTTGATGAGGGAGATATGTGTGTGTGTATATATATATATATATATATATATATATATATATATATATATATATAAAATGTTCGAATCTTTGCTGTCAGTTCTTTCAGGCACATGTTCAGAATTACTGGATTGTACAAAAACTTCCTGTGTAAATTTTGAAGAACTGCCATACTGTTTCTCAAGCAGGTGGCCGCACTATTTTGCAGTCACTCCCCCCCCACATACACAAAGCACAAAGATCCAATTTGCCACATCCTAACACTTGCTATTTTAAAAATTATTTACAAAAATAACCATTCTAATGACTATGAAGTGGTATCTCATTTTGGTTTTGATTTGCCTTTCTCTGATGATTAGTCTTTTGCCCATTCTTAATTAAGACTTGTTGAATTTTAGTTCTTACATGTATTTTGCATAGTAATTTTTTATCATATGTATGGTTTATAAATATTTTTCTCCATTCCATGGGTTGCATTTCGGCTTCTGGCAATGTCCTTGATGCACAAACGGTTTTTTATTTTGGAACTAAGACCCTAAATATAATAGGCAAGTGCTCTACCATTCAGCTACATCCCCAGTCCTTTTTAAAGTTTTGAAATTTTGAGACAGGGTATTGCTAAATTGTTCAAGCTTACCTCAAGAGTTGCGATTTGCCTGTCTCAGCATCCTAAGTAACATGTACCACTGTGCCTGGCAAAAAATATTTAATTTTGATGGTGTAATTTTTTTCTTTTGGTATCATATACAAGTAATCATTACCAACTCCACTGTCATGAAGATTTGCCCTATGTTGTCTTCTAAATTTTAGTCTTACATTGAGGTCTTTGATCCACTTTCAGTTACTTTTTGTATTGCATAACAGTGTCATTCTTTTGCATGTCAATACTGCTTTCCCAGCAGCATTTATCAAAGCAGCGGTCCTTTACTTAAATCATAATTAGTATGTATTTGCAGTACATAATGTTTACATTCACCTTAGGGAGTAGGTACACATACTTAACATATCTTAATTCTTTGTATTTCCTTTTTCTTCTCTCCTCCATCTCTACATCCCTTCCTATTTACAAGTAATTTATCTCCCTATTTCCCATTGTCCTTTGTTTTTAAAAATTGTGTACTTTGGCTTTCTCACATAAGTTATGTGATATTTAAGCTTCTGTTTTATTTCACTTAACATTATGGTCTCAAGGTACATCCATTTTGCTATAAATGACTCACATTTATCCTTTCTAGGAGAGTAGCACTCCATTTTCTTTATTCATTCATGTTGATGGCCCCTTTCATCAACATGAGTTGCTATAAACATGGATATGCATGTATCATTGTAATATGTCTTTAGCTCTTTTGGGAATATCGAGATGAATAGCTGGGACAAGTTGAAATTCTAGTTTTTTGAGCAATTGCCATAATGATTTCTGTAGTGGTTGTACCAGTTTACATTTCTGCCAACAATGTAAAAGGGTGCCTTTCCCCCACATTCTTGTTTTTGGTACTACGAAGTGAACTCAAGACCTTGTGCTTTCCAGGCAGGTGCTGTGCTGCTGAGCTATATCCCTGGCCTGAGTCATTCTTTTTTGAATAAAGTGGAATCTCAGTGTTTCATTTCTTTGATGGTCAGAGATATTGAGCATTTTTTCATGTACTGGCCATTTGTACTTTTGAGAAGTACATTTCAGTTGCCCATTTTTTTTTTTTTTTGGTCTTGATTGGGGTTTGGCTATCTTCTCCCCATTGAGAGAAGACATCTTTGTTGAAAAACATTGGGCCATATATTTGAGAATTAATTTCTGGGTTTCCTATTCTATTCCATGGGCTGTATTTATACCAGTACCACACTATTTCGACTACTGTAGCTTTCTAGTAAGTTGTGAAATTAGGAAGTGTAAAAATTTTAGCACTTCTTTTCCAAGATTGTTTTGGCTCTGCAGAGCCCTTGTGAGATTCCATATTAATTTTAGGATGGAATTTCTGAAAAAACCTATCAGTGAGACTTGGATAGAAATTGCAGTGACTGTAGATTTTCAGTAGTATTTTGACTTGAACAATATTGTCTTACAATCCGTAGCTACAAGAACGTCTTTCCATTTATTTACACCTCCCTTAATTTCTTTTAGCAGTGTGTTGTAGTTTCCAGTGTGCAAGCCTATTTGATTAAGGTTATTTTGTAGCATTTTACTTTTTGGTACTGTTCTTAGTGGAACTTTTGTTTCTTTTATGGGTTATTGTTGGTCTGTAAAACCACCACTGATTCATACCACTTTCTTATTCTGTGTCTTCATAGGATTCATTTTTGTGCATATGCACAGAATTCTGAATTTTTTTTTTTTTTCTTCCGGTACTGGGAATTGAACTCACGACCTTGTGCTTGCCAGGCAGGTGCTGTGCCGCTGAGCTAAATCCCCAGCCCCTAGAATTCTGGATTTTCTACATGGGTCATGTTATATGCCAAAGGAAGGATTTTACTATTTCTAGTTTGGATACTTTTATTTTCTTGTTCTTGCCTAAATGATCTGGCTAGAACTTACAGTACTGTAAAATAGAAGTGGCAAAAGCAAATATTGTTTTGTTCCCAAACTTGGTGGAAAAGGTTTCAGCTTTTCAGTATCATAATGTTTGGGGTTTTTTTTTGTTTGTTTCATATCTGGATTTTATTGAGTTAGCTTCTATTCCTTTTTTCTAATCATGAAGGGGTGCTGAATTTTGTCAAATTTTTCCCTGCCATGAGTTGAAATGATCATGTGGCTTTTTCTCTTATTTGGTCAATGTGTGGTATGTTATTTTTCCATACTCAACACCCTACCATTGCAAGAATAAATCATACTTTGCCATTGTGTGTAACCCTCTTAATATGCTGTTGAAAATGCTTTGCTAGTATGTTTAGGTCATTTGAACTAATTGTCTTCTGGAATTTAAAGGGGTTGGGGAAGGACTGATGTTGGTTCTTTAAATGTTTCATAGCACTCACCAGTGAAGATCCTGAGCTCTTTTATTCTCCAATCCATTCTCATTACTATCATAGACCTGGTCAGATTTTGTTTATGAACTGAGTCTTGGTATGTTATGTGTTTTCAGGAATTTGTTCATTTCATGGAGATTACCCAATTTGTTGGCATACAGTTTATAATATTATTTGTTGGGAGAAATCTCTTTATCAGACCAGTCCTGGTAAAATCCTGTTTACCTTTTTTAGAACTGATAGTAATGTTCCTTTTTTTTTGGTTTTTTGGTTTTTCTCCAGTACCAGGAACTGAACTCACGACCTTGCGCTTGCCAGGCAGGCGCTTTGCCGCTGAGCTAAATCCCCAGCCCCAATGTTCCTATTTTCATTTGAGATTATTTTTTAACCTAGCTAAAGATTTGACAAATTTGGTTGTTCTTTTCAAAAGACTAACTTTTGTGGTGGGGTGCAGAACTGGGGATTGAATCCAGGGCCTTAACACTGGCCCCTGTTACTTTCACCATTCTTAGGCTTTTGAGTTTGTC